AGGAATAAAGTTCAAAAGGTATTAACAAACAAGCTAATTATGTGCCAACACTGTTCTAACTACATTAACTCATTTAGCCATCCTAAGAGGTTAAATACCATTGCTATTATTCTAATTTTTCAGAAGAATTTAAACAGAAGTTAAAGTTACGAAATTAAGGTTGGAGAGATGGTGCAGGAGAATTATCTGTATTCTGTCAATCATGTATTTTTAATAAAACGCTGATTGGCCAGGCAGGAAGTATAGGTGGGTCAACCAGAGAGGAAGTAGAGGTGGGGTGATGACAACAGGAGAATGCTGGAAAGGAGGAAGCCCATTCCTCCCACTTCTGCACAGACCACCCAAGAGGTAGGATGTAATCTGCCCGGCTGTGAAAGGTAGGGAGCCATGTGGCTAACATAGATAAGAATAATGGGTTAATATAAGCTACAAGAGCAAATAAGAAGACTGAGCTAATGGGCCAATCAGTTTTATAACTTATGGAGATCTCTGTGTGATTTTCTTTGGGACTTGCTGGCTGTGGAAACTGGGCAGGACAGATACCCCAACAAGCCGGCCCTCATATTACAGAGAGATGGCAACAGTTAAGAGCACTTATTCTCCTGCAGCGAACCCAGGTTCTGTTCCTAGCACCTACATCAGGCAGTTCACATCTACAGCTTTAGTTCCAGAGGGCCCAATGCCCTCTGGCCCTCAGTACACCTATGGTATACAGAAACACACATATACACCATATACACATAAATAAAATTATCTTATTTTTAAAGAAATTGCGGTTAAGGCCAGTTATGGTGGCATACACTTCAACCCTAGCACTCTAACCCCAGCACTCAGGAGGAGAAGGCAGGTGGGTCTGAGTTCAAAGTCAGCCTAATCTACAGAGCAGGTTCAAGACTTGAAAAAAAAGAAAACAACTAAGCTTAAGCAGCAATATGCCCTACACTATACAAGGTTAGGCTAGGATTAAACACTCTAATTCCAGAATTGACACTCCAAAACATGGAAAACCTCAAGCGCCATACAATTCAATTATATTCCACATAATCATAGCCCATCGCTCTCAAAATAACTAATGTGCTACTTATTTGATTACACATAGCACTTTGTTCTCTGCTCTTTCTCCATCAGAGGCTCTGATACCTTATAAATAAAATGCATTTAACAGCGCTCAGACTCCTTCCTACAAAGGGCATAAACAGTATGAAACAGCAGCTGTTCCTGTGAAACCCTTCATCTTTAAATTTCCAGTTTGAACCTGGATTACAAGACTGATATAAATGCGACTTTAATAGTAAAGAAAAACACACTTCAATGGACTCAACTACAATAGGATAGGGAATAAGAAGCAAACAACCTTTAAAAAAAAAAAAAAAGACAATCCACACTGTAGCTCAATCAGGCCTAGAACTCACTATGTAGCCCCAGGCTGGCTTCAAGCTCAAGGCAATCCTCCAGTGTCAGTCTTCTAAGCACTGGAATTACAGGTTTATTTTATTTTTAGTTATGTGCACGGGGTGTGAACGATGTGAATGTGAGTGTGGTCCCCAGGAGGCCAGAGAGGAAGTTAGACCCTCTACAGCTACAGCTAGAGGCAACTGTGAGCGGCCTGCCAACTGTGAGCAGCCTGCCATGGGTGCTGGGAACCAACCTCAGGTCCTCTAGAAGAGAAGCTCTCTTAAATGTCGAGCCATTTCTACAGCACCCAAGTAATATGTCCTCATTAGTAAAATGCAGGATTTTATCAGATACACGAAATTCTAAACTGGTTTCTAAATTAAATTATTTCCATCTCTGACACCTACCAAATTACACAATTTTATTTCTACAAGAATCACAATTCATTACCATGTAAACATTAGTATACGCACCCAAGTTTCACCCAATATCTTTTGGTTTTTGTTTTCTTCAGAGCTGGGGATCAAACCTAGAGCTTTCCGGCATGTGAGGCAAATAAACTACAAACTAAACACATATCCATTCCCAGCAGCCAGTATCTAAATCTTCAAAACTCATAACTAGTCTGGCAAGGTGATAAATGCCTATAATCCCACTACTCGGGAAGCATAGGCAGATTTCTATGAGTTAAAAGCCAGCCTGGTCTCCATAGTGAGACCCCATCTCAAAAATTCCAACAAGGGGAGGCAGTAAATAAGTGGGGTTTGCTCCTAGCTAATTTAAATCACAACTACTCACTGTACCAATTATTCAGTGTCTACATAGAGATCATTTAATCTCTAATTTTATGACTATAAATTGAACTATATACTGTATCAATTAACTATCATAGCCTCATTTCCTACCAGTCTTTACAAGCAGAAGTTTTTTCTAGTAGATCAACATCTGCTCCTGAAGTGAACATGGAGAACAGGCAGTGATCTCCAACTACTGAACCTAACCTACGCATTTCTCTCTTGGGTTACAGAAAAGTACTCCTTTGGCCAAAATAAATCAGGCAAGCATTAGGAAAGTTACTGTTTTTAAATCTCATTTTCTGGTAATTTCCTCTTCTTCCAGAAGTGACTATGGAGAGTCATGCCTCTCATTATATCATCATATGTATCCATCAAAGGACTTGTTTACTGAACAAGAAATAGTTTAAGTCATAAATGACAAGGCATGTGGTTACTACAGTCTAGTAGGAAGCACGAATCCAGAAGACTAAGGTTTATTATGCTAAACTGTGAACCACTGATGTGAATTGAAGAAGACCGAAGACTGTGTTCACTCTCAGTAACATCTCCCAAGAAAAGTAAGACACATTCTCCCACAGGGTACCAGAAGAAGCACAGTTTAAAAGCATTTAACACTGACAATATTCCTTGAAAATGGAGGGACCTACATAATGAAAAAAATCCTATTTCATTTTAAAGTGTTTAATGAAGATTGCAATAAAGCCAGGTGTGGTGGCACGCACCTTTAATCCCAGCACTTGGGAGGCAGAGACAGGCAGATCTCTGACTTTGAGGCCAGCCTGGTCTACAGAGTGAGTTCCTGGATAGCCAGCATTACACTGAGAAACCGTCTTGGAGCAGGGGGTGGGAGTGGGATGCAAAAAGAAAGAAAGAAAAAAAAACTGCAATAAATACAACTGAAAATGAAAAATAAAAGCAGTCTTCAAGAAAGCCAGGTCATGTCTGCAGTCTCAGCACTTGGAAGGCTAGGATACAAGAATCACAGTAAACTGGAGGCTAGCCTGGGATAGAGTGAACCCTTGTCTTAAAAGAAAAATTCAAAAAAATAGGGACAGTCAGATAACTCGACGTGTAAAGTGCCTATGGCACAAGTCTGACAACCAATCTGATTCCAGCAATCCACAGTGGGAGGGAGAACCGAGTCCCAAAGGCTGTCCTTTAACCTCAAATCTGGAGCACGCCATACACACACACACACACACACACACACACACACACACACACGTCCATTTTTTTAATCCAAAAATAATCACCTCCAATGAATAAATACAATAAACACAAAATGTATCAAGGTCTAACGAGAAACAAGGTGTAAAAGACAGCTGCACTTTAAAACATTTAAGCGATTCTCACACAATTAGCTCCAACAGAACTATTAGTTTGTCTTATCCACTCAAAACAATCAACCACAACCACCTGCAACTATAACTCTGAAATGTACCTGGCAAAGAAACTACCTGAGACCCGGGCCTACCTTTTCTTCAAGGGTCAGCTTAAAAATTAAAAGTGGTACAAAGAGATCAAGCACAAGAGAATGGGGCTGGAGGGTGGGGGGTAACGCAGGAAAAATAAACTGGAAGACAGCACTTTTAAGAGGCTAAGAGGAACGACACATATTCCCTCATGGTTGCTTCAGAATGAAGTTGTCTAAACACCAACATCTTCTTTCTTGTGTGTGAAACCTGAGTCACTCAGGTTCACAATTTACCTACCCCAAGTCAACGCAAAGGTACTCTCTTCCCTCCGTGAATTGCACTCAAGAACTAAAACCTAAAGTGGCAATGTGAGATCTGCTTCAATAGCCCCTCTAGCTACCTCGAGGGCAACATCCCCGCTTCATTTTCCTCTTGAAATACAACCTTTCTTCTTCTATACCACCAGGTCCAAAATAATAAAAAGATCATCTTAAACATTTTACATCAGATCCACCTTGGCCGCACCCCAATATCCCCAAGATGCCCCTTTCCCCACACCATGCCTCCCACCTCCGGGTCTCGGAGCGCCAGAAGCCCTCCACCTCCCACATCGGAGGTCCCCGCCGCCAGCGACTTCGCTCCCGCCCAATCCCGGAGCTCCGCAGGGCGCGGCCGCCGGTGGGCTCGGGTACGCTGGGGCGGGGTCCGCTCTCCCGACCTCCCCATCCTTCCCGCCCCCACCCCCGGCCCGATCCGGAGGGGGAGGGGTCCCGAAGCCTCACCTACGGCTCCGCCCCTCCCCAGGGGCACTCTGCCCTGCCCAGCCAGGGCCGGGAGCGCCAAGCCCGGTAGGAAACGGCAAACGCCTCAGCGCCGGCGACCGCCGGACAGCTCGAGGTTCCGCCTGACCCGCGGGCGGCTGCCGACGGGGCCGCCTCACTCTCCTC